TAAGGCGAGGATGCTCTGAGAGAACAGGACCCACACTCGGGATGTGAGAATGAGCATCGTCCAGCACGTCGCCTCTCAAAGGCGCGATGTCCGTCTCCCCTGCAGGAGGTTATGACCCCATGGGGCCTTGGGTCCTGCTCCCAGGAACATCACGCCAGATCGCTTGATGGCGTGTCGTGTCGGACTTATGGGCATTACGAAACCTGCACGGCCCCTTGCGAAGGACAAAATGCTGTCCCCAGCGGAAGGGCTGGCCCCTGAAAGCCTGCCACAGAGCAGACACACGCGAAGACTTGCGCAGGCAGCCACACGGCAAACTGCACCGGAACACGTGTTGGAAGCACCACGCGCCTCGAGGAACGGCTCCGGGAGAACTGAGGCACCCCCGCTGCCCTCGGCCTTCCGAAAGGGGGGGCAATGAGGATCTGGCCTGGAGCCTCTCAGGCACCTCACCCATCCGTCGGCAGACGTAGGCAGAAGCATGAAGTAGGAAGGCGTTGAAAGTGGCTTGGGTACCGTCCGCCCCCTCAAGAAGACGGAAAAGGCGAAGCCACGCGATCATTGAAGTAGGAAGGCGCTCAAAATAGATTGGAATATCTGGAACTCCAGAAATACCTGCTTTCAACGGCCGATGGGTACAGTACCCCGCCCCTCCCTGACCCCCCACCTCTCCACGCCGACAGACGTGGCCGTCGCGCCTCGTCCGAGCTGCCGCTGCGGCGCTCCGAATGCCGCCGGCGGATGCGCCGCTTCCCGCTCGGCCTCGGCGGAGGCGGAGGCGGTGCCTCGACGAGGAAGCTTGGACGACGACGACGACGACGACGACGACGACGACGACGAGGTCGACGCCGATGCAGACGGCGACGCCGACGCCGACGCCGACGCCGACGACGACGACGACGACGAGACGACGACGACGACGACGACGACGACGACGACGCAGGCGACGGCGGCAGCCATGCCTGTCGTGACTCAGGGCTCCGAGTGTATCCGAGATTCGCACCAGTCTGGGCCAGCGGCCCGGCTCCGGCACCGGAGCTCCCACGGGCTTCAACATAGTCTGACCTGGTGCATTGAGATGCCGAACTGTGTGAGGCAGCATGTGCTGAGTGTTGGGCTCAACCACTGTAAGAAGAAGCATGCCGTATAGTACCATCGGTCGTGGGACTTGAGTTGGACCTGGACTGGGTTCTCCACGCACGAGGGTAAGGTCAGCGCCTCCAAGATCCGAAGTTGAAAGACCCGCTATTGGATTCTTCAGTACGAGGTATGGCGATCCCAACCCCCAGTCCAAGGCCTTTCGACAGTCAACAGGTGCGACCCGACTGGAGGACACGACGGGAGCGCCCATCATCGAGATGGGTGCGTCAAGATAGCCCCCTGGCCAAGTTTCCCTTGATTTCTACTGGACTTCTGTTTCGGGGAGCGTGGGGATTGGGGTCGAAAAGAATCGGCCTGCGAAGGTTCGTGCAAGAAACACGAAGCGGCCCCCTGCCCCTCCCGCGCCGCACTGCCGAGAGAGCGACGTCCCTGCCATAACGCGGCAGGGAAGACCTGCCGATGGTGACGACGACCAGATCTCAGGGGTGGCAGTGGCGTGGGATGAAGACACGATGGAGCTGGCAAGCCCCTCCCTGGCCAGGCAGCCCGCCGGCCCCCTCTCTGGAGCGCTGCCGCTGGGGCCGCCGACGCCGCCCGGACCTCCGCGGAGGAGCTGTCGGAGGCGCCCGCCTCCAGGGGACGGAGCCCGGTGGCGCTTTGGGCGGGCACGGGGGGGGGAGGGGCGAGACAGCCGTGTGAGGGAGACGAGGCAGCCAGGGAATGAGGAAGAGGAGGAGGAGGAGGAGGAGCAGGAGGAGGAGCAAGAGGGGCAGGAGGAGGACGAGCAGAAAAAAGGCAGGATAAGGAGGAAGAGGAGTCTGTCTGTCTTCCCCATTCGAGCTCAAAGATCACTTCACCAACACATGCACGCTCTGGGCCTAGGCTCTTGTAGCCGATCTCATCCTGAAGGGGCGCTCACACTCCCAAGAAAAAACACAAATATTCTACAGTCTCCTGTCGAGGGGTCATGAAAGCGGTGGAACGGCGCCCAGCGCCTCGCTGGTACGCCCCACGCGGGGCAGGCCCAACTGGCCGTGGGACGAAGCGGGACCACTGCACCCCTGGGCGAGAGGGACACAAAGGCCACCCCCCTCCCCCAGGGACGAGTGGCCCCTACCCCTTCCCCCGCCGCCGAAACAGATATACTGCTTATCGGTTTTTACATACCTTACTAATTTGCCCCTAGGGGCACGACCTGGCTTACTGTTAAAGCCTGAGGCCCGAAACAACTGATACAAAGCGTGCCCGACTGCAATTACTTTGACTGGGGCGGCGCCTACTTCACACTCAAGAGGAAAACGAGCGACGCGCGCCGCGGCCTTGTCCTTTGCGCCCTGCTCGGCCCCCGCGCCCCCGAGAGTGTCCCAGTGGCTCTTCTGTTCCCGCCGCGGCGTTGGCTGAGAGACCCCCACGGGGAGCGCGATAGATCCGAGGGCTTTGACCGCTATCCTCAAGATTCCTCCATCCTGCGTGTTCGACGTGCCGTACTCCTTGATCCACAAGCTCGCCGTCGGCATGTCCGCGTGCTTCATCATCAGCAGAAGACGATCTGGCACCTCCGCGAGATGCTTGGCCGAGAGCTGCGCCGCGCCCTGCTGCTCGAGACACCCGCTGAGACCGCTCAGAAGTGCGGCAAATACCTGCAGTTGTGGTGGGCCCAGTCTTTGCCCTCCACTTTCTTCTGGTAGTCGCTGTCCGTCGCCTTCAACATTGCCACTTGAAACGAGTCGCTGGGCCCGTATACTGTCAGCCCCGATCCGAACTCCAGCGTCATCATGCGGCTCTCGAGTTGGCGAAGAGGCTTGGCGTTGACGTGTCCGGCCTCTGGCTTGCCCACCCGCCGGCGTTTGCCGCGCTGGTCTCCCTCCGCGGCCTCGGGGCCTCTCATGGGAGCAGACGCCATGATCTAGTCCGAGTCCGCCACGTTGTTTCTCAAGGGCCTCGCTGAGGCCAGGTAGCTAAAACTCTAGCACGTGAGACGTCAAGTCTGGCTGAAGATGCTCGACAAGTAAATGTCTACGGAGATCGTCATCATCGAAAGCAACGTAGTCACAGGCCGGGCACTCGTACGATTTTGGCTGAATGATGTTTCCGTCAGCGCGGCCATTATCGACATGTGCCTCTTCGCGCAGTCGATGGACGAGAAGTTGGAACCGCGCGTTACACACTGACTGGGCACGCAATACATACGCCCCAGAAGCTGCTTTCCGTGCGTGCCCCCCTTGGTCTTGAAATAGCGCGCTGCCAGCTGCTTCTACGTTTGGAACCTTGCATTGTAAATCACCCCGTCGGCCTTGAGCGACTTGCAACGATGAGGCCCACCCTTCTCAGGCTCCTCCTGCCGGTGCTCGTTCTATTTGACGGTCAGAAAGTAGTGCGCCCCAAGAGCCCCCATGTCTATGTGGGCGAAATCCCCATTCCCCTCGAACAGTAGCTCCTCCACTCCATAGATTTCTAGTAGCCTAGCTCCGTCGTCGAATAGCTCGATTGCCTTGATGTCGTCTAGTAGCTGCTCGCACCAAGGGTTCGCTCTCTCGTCGTCGCTCACGCATCTGTCAATCTCGGTTGTTTCGCCATCCCAGGAGCGCCCGACAACCGCCGCAAGAAACTGAGCAAACCTCGCTTGGTGCTGTAAACACTGCTGAAGCCATCGAAGCCTTCGGACCCTCATCTCGACGCGCGGGGCTGCTAGACGTACTTCAGCTAAGGCCTGGAGGTTGGAGAGGGTTCGGATGGCGCCATCTTTGCGCGCATGGCGAGGAAGCTGAGGATGGGCTGCCAGCCCCGCGCTCGCATAGGCCCATTCTTTGAACACAAAACTTCGGCTTCTCTGCAGCAAGCATTAGCCGCGTATCCTTTGAGCAAATTGATCCCCCATGCAAAAGAGATGCTGCTACTCCAGAATTGGTTAAGGTTGTACCAGGCCTCTCTCCCTGCTGTTAATCCATGCTCGATCTGGCAGAGCGCGAACCCAGCGTGGATGCGCGGCCCCAAGTACCGCGCATAAGCTGCCGCCTCCCCTTCCAAGAGCTGGTCACGCAGAAACGTATCCTCAAGATAGATTGAGTTGTGGCCTGCCAAGTGAAGAAGGTTCTCCTGCTTGCTGACGTCCTGCGCCATCTTCACCTCCGCCATTCTGCCCGTTATTGTCTGATTATGATAAACGCCTGAAGCCACAACGCACTCTGCGCTGTTGTCCACGTCGAAGTTGTCGGCTGCATCGCCCGCAAAGAGAGCGGAAGCTGCTTTTGCCCACGTTTTGGCCCATGGACAAAAGAAGCTGCTCTGCGTGCAGCTATTGATGTTAATTGATCCCATTCCCATCTGTCTGGCATAAGCCCCCACAAACAATCTGACCATGGCTGGATCGCCTGACGTGCACCCCTGCTGGACGAGGAGCACCTCGTTAGACTCATCGCCAGGCAACATGACAACATGAAACAAGCCAAAGCGACTCTGAACTTCATAATCTGCCAATCGTCCTCTCGACTAAATAGCACTCGATTTCCTCGCACAACGTATCGTGATCCATGCAGTAGAAGGCGCTGGCGGCGTCGTGTAGGCGATTGATGCGCGACTGTCCAGTCTGATGCCGCTCTCTCCAAGAGCAAGCCGGCTGAAGAACGATGACTGCGGCCTCGCGCCGCCGGCCTGGAAGACACCCCCACGCAGAAGATTCATTGTCCTGCGGAGCTCCGCGTGCAAGTAAGCTGCGGAAATAAGCCTTCGCAGTCGTGCAAACTAACATGATGACCCTCTCGCCGTCGACGCCCTCCTCGCGATTGCCCTTGCCGATTTTGCAAGCGTCTGAACAGATCCAAGTGAGCGGCAACTTTCCACTTTCGCGAATCCCCCGGATAAGGCACCACAAGATGAAATAAGCTGCCGATATCTTCTCTTGCTCCTGCTCGTAGCCTAGCCCGCGCTCGTGCTGCAACTGTCGCTTGTTGACCCAGTTCGGAAAGAAAGCCGCTCTCAGAAACTCGGGCACCAATGCTGTCGCGCGGCGCGACTCTCCACATTCCTAACTTCCAGATCTCATGTTTGAATGCTTTGATATCCTCTTCGGTCTCGTCGGCGGTCACGGTGTTGCACTGCTCGGGTAGGTCGTGCACCATCTGAGCCATAGCTTCGAATTGTAGTCTCTGCGCTGAAGCCCCACCCTCTTCGCCCGTCAGCTTCACTCGGCCTTTCCACTCCGAAGTCGTACCACTCGTTGTGAGTTGCCTGTAAGATATACGTCGTGGTCCTCGTCCATTGCACGCAAGAAGCCTGGCCATTCGATGCACCTCGTGATAGTCATTGTTTTCTCGGGCCTCCTCAAAAGCACAATCTCGATCCTCCTGCATTCTCTGACAATGCCGCCGTTTATGTTGTCGCAACCATTTGCTCAAGGTAGTTATCCGAACCATGATCTCAAACTGCTGCTGCTCGTCGTGCTCGGTGTAAGCCCATGCGGATTGGTCTCGGTGCTGGCGTCGTTGCCCAAGTAACTTGTTCAGTTCTGCCGCGTAGTGCGCTTGACTCTCTGTGTAACCCTCCTTCCGCATACAAATAGTTTCTGCCCCGGCAACAAGTGTCTCCACCAAGAGTTGATTCGCTTTCACTGCCATCTCGTAGCCTGACCCGCTTCTAACCCAAGCTGGTTTTGCCGTGATCGTGTCGTACACTGCCGTCGTGAACTCTTTCTTCTGTAGCCTCGTTGAAGAAGTGCGTTGGCTGCCGATGGTTCGATTCTGTGCATGCGCGTCCTCTTCGGCTCGGGGATGATGTTCTTGGTCCAGCAGAAGCTTGTTCCAAGAGGTAGATGATCCCATTCGCGCCCCCACCGATGAGGTTGTAGTCGCCGCATGCTCCTTCTAAAAGTCGTACACCCTTTAACCGCAGCTAGTAACGCTTGGTACTGCTATGTAGTCCAGCGTTCGCGCCGTCCCTTTTGATACCACCGACGTGCAACCTGCACCCTTCATCGTGTTAACCATACACAATCATGAGCAGCGAAAATGGGCTTGAGTGAAGTGGCCGATCTCCGTTCCTCTTCTCCACGGCCGCAGGGTCCGATCATGTCGCTGACCTCCCCGGTGAAGGCAGAGTTGAGGTTCATCGTGACTATGGGTGCCCATGTGCCTGCCAAACAATCTAATAATTTAGAGAGCAATCTGATCAGCATCTCGCAACAATTCGTGTACTTCAGCTGCTGCGCCTTCTCTCTGGTGCTGGGCGGAAAGTAGAGCCAGGTGAAAGCAACTCTAACTGAGTGGCGTTCTAGCTTGCATCACAGAACTCGTCTTTGTAGCCCCTTGGGGCTCGTCACAACTCCACGAAGATGTGAAGGGCGGAAGAAACGATTGTTGAACCAGATGCTGATGCCACACGGCTTGTTGGTCATCGCGCCCGCATTCCACCCCTCTGTGTACCTCCAAAAAGAAGAACACTTGCGCATCTCCCTCTGTCCCTGGTACTGCTTCCCTTGTGTGCCGATGAGCGTGACCACCGTGGTGTTCGACAACTCCTCGAAGATATCCTGGGCGCGGGAGAGGGTGGCGCTTCCGGGTTGTACACGACCACGCTCACATGCCCAAAAAGCGCCGCTGAGCACTCTGACATGGCGGGATGCTGTGTGTGCACCT